AGCCCTTTCGAAGGGCTGTAAACAACGAGAGACAAGATCAAAAACCATTTGTTCAAGCCCTCGGTTGTTTGGTCTTTGATCTTGTCTCTCGTTGTTTACAGCCCTCCGAAGGGGCTGGCCGACTGTCTGCCTCCCTCCTCCCCCTAGCACTGCCTCCGCCGGCACGCCGGCACGCCGGCCGGCCGGCCGGCGGACTATGAAAGCAGCTATTCTGTCCGTTCTACTTCTTTTTATCATGAAAACCTCGCTGCTTCGATACATAATATAGGTGGGTATCGCGAAAGGTCAGTGGAAGTAACTGAGAACGAGAGCAACTGATAAGGGCTGATAGAAAGCCACAGAAACATGGAGCTATTGCTTTCCTTGAATTAAATCCTAGAAGCTCAGACTTTGATACGCGATGAAACCGATTTCGGATGAGAATGATTGATTAGGATTGGGATTTATGAGAACAGATAAAGGCTGGTAATGGAATTTAGCATGTATTTATTCTCTCTTTTTTATATTCTCCTTTCAGGTCGAAAATGGCAAACACTATTACAAAATTCCGGACTATATGGCTGTCGTTGAAGGGACTGTGCGAGTAGTCGAAGGGCTATGGATGAGCGACTAAGTCCTTTCATCATTCGATTCTGCTGAATAAAGAAAAATAACATTGTTCAAGTATCACTGCTTGTAATAGTCGCCTTGCGTTTCATCCAAAACAGTTTTGTGAGCATTATTTCCAAAACTGTTTCGAATACTTTTACGTTCACAGTATTAGAGAAAAGCAAACATAGCTGCACAGCGTCAAAACGTTGCGTCGATCATCAAATGGCTCAGGTAGACTGTTAATCCTTCTTGCTTGAGAGAAACGAGGAACGCAATTTAGCACCCACAGAGCTTCGCGTAGAGAAGCTTGATAATCAGGGCGATCGTTTTGTTCGCTAGTCACGAGGGATCTAAACAGTAACGTGCTCACCTCATAGTCATCACAAAACCCTACAAAGTGTCAAGCCTACCTGATATCGATTCCTCAGCGTAAGCAACAGACAAATAATCGTCGACTAACCAGGGAAGGATCCCAAGTCGAAGTGGCCTTTTGAAATGAGACCTACACTGCTAGACGTGTTTTAGGATGCGGAGTTCAAATCTG